GTACCGGACGGCCTGCCGCCGTTCCGGCTCGAGTTGAAGGTGGGGTGCATCGTCATGTTGCTCAGAAATCTCGATCCGAGGAGACGACTGTGCAACGGTACGAGGTTGGTGGTCACCGAACTGCGGCGACACAATTTCAAGGCGAGGATTTTGGGCGGTGACCCACGGGACGACGACATCGTCCTGCCCAAGATACCGCTCAGGTCCAGCGGTGAGGACGACCTGCCCATCCCACTGAAGCGCATTCAATTCCCGGTGAGGTTGTCGTTCGCCATGACCATCAACAAGTCGCAAGGTCAGACGTTCGACAGGGTAGGTTTGCTTCTGACGACGCCCCCGTTCACTCACGGGCAGCTGTACGTGGCGTTTTCGAGGGTGAGAAACGCACAGTCCGTGAAAGTCGGCATGTACGCCGATGACAGCGGGCGATTTGTCACCAAGAACATCGTGTACAGGGAAGTTCTGTAATGCAATAAGTGGTAAGTATATTCTAGGTGACGTCCGACGATCGATTCTAGATGATGGTGATAGTCTGGTTGACTTTAAACCTGACATGTGTAACATATTTTTCAAACACAATACGTTACACCGCTGTTATACTGGTCTGTGTACTACATGCGCCCGATGATCAAAGATGACGATGGTAGTCTGGTTGACTTTAAACCTGACATGTGTAACATATTTTTCAAACACAATACGTTACACCGCTGTTATACTGGTCTGTGTACTACATGCGCCCGATGATCAAAGATGACGATGGTAGTCTGGTTGACTTTAAACCTAACATGTGTAACAGTTTTTTCAAACTTAATACGTTACACCGCTGTTCTACGTGGTCTCCGTGGAGGTATTATGTGATACCTAACATGTGTAACATATTTTTCAAACATAATACGTTACACCGCTGTTATACTGGTCTGTGTACTACATGCGCCCGATGATCAAAGATGACGATGGTAGTCTGGTTGACTTTAAACCTAACATGTGTAACAGTTTTTTCAAACTTAATACGTTACACCGCTGTTCTACGTGGTCTCCGTGGAGGTATCACATAATACCTAACATGTGTAACATATTTTTCAAACATAATACGTTACACCGCTGTTATACTGGTCTGTGTACTACATGCGCCCGATGATAGTCTGGTTGACTTTAAACCTAACATGTGTAACAGTTTTTTCAAACTTAATACGTTACACCGCTGTTCTACGTGGTCTGTGTGGAGGTGCTTCGTGGGCCTTGCCTTCGGGCTAAACGGAGAGAAAGTTTGACAACCTCCTCGTGGTTCTCTCTGGATGCGAATTCACTATAATGTGAATTCGTAACTGATGTCAAACAATGTATGTAATGTCTGTGTTATTTGTCTTGTACCATATACTATTGAATATAGTATGATAATATAGTACAGATACTACAGACAATTTATTGTAAATGTTGTATTTTATTTGTAATGGAACATTTTCTCCTATATTATATGATGTAAATAACATTTACTTTGTTTTATTACTATTGTAAATTACAATAATTGACATTGTATTAATTTTTAGTATTAATTAATTTATATTGTGTTAATGGTTGACATTTTATCTTATTACTATTATATTACTACCGTTTGTATAATATATACTTATATTGTTATAAAATATGTAAATTTGATACAATTTCACATATTATAATTATTATATGTATATAATTTTCCATAGTTGACATTTTATTAATTGTTTCACTCACTAAAAGAGTATTTGGTTTTTTGTTAAACACCATTTAATAGTTGTATTTCTTTCTTCTTTGTTTTATCTAATAATAAATATTATTAACATTAATAATATGTTTTGTACACTAAACAACCATGAACTGCTGTTAATTAATGTAAACTGTATAAATGATTGATTAATTACTTTATTCTATTTGCATTGTATTATGTTATTTATATGTAAATATATAACACCCCTGAACTGTTGTATTGTATTAATGGTCGAGATTTGAGTTAATTGTATTACTATTATTATAAATGTAAATTTTATACAATTTCACGTATAATTATTGTATACATGATTTTCATATTTTTATTAATAATAGAGAATTAGTTTTAATGATTGACATTTTATTACTATTACTAATATATTACTACTACTGTGACCGTATATACTATTATAAATGTAATTATTGCAATATTTATATAATTTAACTCGACAGGAGTTTTACTCGGCAAAAGAGTATTTGTTTTGTTTTAAGCACTATTAATTAATAATTGTATTTCTTTCTATGCGATTCTTTCAGTTGATTTATATTGTGATTTGTATTCAATTATTAGATTATTGCTGCTGTGTATATAAATTGCAGTTCATTAAATTAAATATATATTAACATTGACAATATTTGTTTTGTATATCATAATAATAAATAATTTGGAAAACATACATTTTGTAACAATTCATTTAAAATACACACATTTCTTGGGACTGGGAATCGATCCCCTCAAAAAGAGTGAATTAATTAATTAAATACTTTGTTTTATAAGCACAACATTTTTGTCCTATTCGGTTCATAAGTATAACATAACCTAACTATAATAGAATGAAAAAATATGAACTAATAACAATGCATACTATATAAATGAGAAGATAATGCGTATGATGTTATTTACATTTATTTCTACTTAGTTTTATTTGATAACGATAATATATATAACATCATGTGATGTGCAACTGTGTGCTACTACCTACTACATTGCTGATAGTAGTGATACAAAATATAATAATATTATTATTCACTTTTTTATGCTAAACGTTTAACCACCATTCAATAGTTGTACATATTATAGTAACTTAGTAGACTGTTCATTTATTTATTTTAGTAGAGTAATGCCACTGTACAAATTATAATATTATTGGTATTTTAGATTCTGAGCGGAGCGATGAATGTATTGGTTTTACAATGATGTATGTTTTTATATTTTTATTTATATTTTTATATTTTTATATTTTTATATTTTTGTGTCTGTCATCACGTTTTAGGACAGTAAAAGTGCTTGGATTTTCTTCATCAGTAGCTTTTCTGATAGGAAAGTGAATCTAGTTGGTACTTTGGGGGGTCAAAAGTATAAATTTCGCAGTAGTTTTCACAAGCGCCGGGAAAAACAACACAAAAATTAAGGAAAAACGGGAATTTTTACGCAAAATTGGTTTTCCAAAAAATCGATTTTGGTTATTGGTGTAACTCTAAAACAAATGAACGTATATACATGAAAATTTCACTGGTTGTTAATATTTGCATTTTCTATACACCATAACATTTTCAAAATATTTTGATTTATTTTGAACTGTTTAGGGACATTTTCATTTTCCATTTTTTTTTAGTTTTTTTCTTAAAATATCAATAAAATTTTATTTGTTGGTTGCGAAAGCTTGAAAATTTAATAGAAGGCTCCTAATATGTTGTTTCAAAGGCAGATGAAAAATATTAAAAATCCTTAGTCACAATTTTTTTTTATAAGCATTTAAAGTTCAAAAATTGACAAAATATGGAAAAATCACGAAAATTAGCAAATTATTTTGAGTTAAGAATTCGTAAAAATTTTTCTTTTTAAATCTAAGATTTGAAAATGAAACACAAGATTCCTTATAAGATTATCTACCTTTATCAATAAAAAAATCTCTACCGGACAGTTAAATTAAATTTTTATGAGCGTTTGAAATTCAAATTTTTACAACATTGGATTTTCACTCGATTTCTCATGTAGCGATTTCCTTATTTTGTTGTAATTCAAAAACGAATAACTGTAGATACATGAAAATTTCACTGAATGTTTATATTAGCATTTCCTATACACCATACAATTTTGAAAATATTTTGACTCTTTTTGAGCTGTTTATGGACATTTACAGCTTTCAATTTTTTTTAGTTTTTTTTTCTATAAATATCAATAAAGTTTTATCTGTTGGGCCAAAAAGTGTAAAAATGTAATACAAGGCTCCTGATATATTGTTACAATATCAGTTGAAAAATATTAAAAATACATAGGCACGATTTTTTTTTATAAGCATTTAAAGTTGGAATTTTGACAAAATTTATCAAAATCTCGAAAATTATCAATCGTTGGAATTAAAAAATTATAAAATGTTCAGTTTTTATAACTAAGAGTTGAAAATTTAAAACAAAGATTCTCTTAAATAATTCATACTGTAACCAAAAAATCTAAAAAATATATAAACACACTTATTTTTTACAGACATTTTAATTTCAAATTTAGACAAAATTTCATATTTAAACCAAGAATTACGATTTTAGTTATTTTGTTGTGATTGAATAATACTATTCGTGGGTACTTGAAACTTCTAAAGTGTACTATTATATATCTATGATAGTATCACGGTTTTTGTTGATGTATAACGCGTTATAAGTATCTAATGGATATTGTGATATGATTAATTTGGAATTTATTATAGGTACCTATTGTTGAATATAATTTAATATTGTATTAGTAGTATAATCATATTGTGTATAACAAAATATAGCTGTTATTCGAATCTGATAAATCACACCACATATGGCGTGATATTGTATTAGCCAATAAGCAAGCTTGTAAAGTGGCGTGAGCCAGGGGTCAGTAGATCATTAGTATATAAGGTTGTTTAGCTGTGTACTGTAGGCACTGCATTTTAGGTATTACTTATGTGTATGTCATGTATATCTCGTAAGCATAGTACTTACATTGTTAGAAGTCAAATTACTTTTCATACTTAGTTATGTGTTTTAGTTTTAGTGAAATATTACGTATTCTTACTATAACTAAATTGTGTTGTATATTTTATCTTTTGTCGATCCACATTTTAACCTCCTTTCAACAGGTTATGGGCCCAGATCACTAGATCACTAGATCATCGTCATTGATGATTACAGGACAACAAAAGAAAAATTCAACATTAGAATTTGACAGGTTCTAACAGGGAACAAATAGACTAAGGTACATTTTTGCAGTTCATATATTTGATCAAGTCATGGAAGATTCGGTCAAGGTGTCAAAGTTGGCGAACGCAGAAGAATGGCCATTGTGGAAGTTCCAGATGAAAATAGTAATTAACTCATTTGAGTTAGGTAGTTTGATTACAGGGGACTGGACGAGACCAAGTCCCAAGATAACTAAACTTTCGGACAAGGAATCCGATGAAGAGGCAAGAAGCCGGTATAAAAATCAATTAATCGCTTGGACAAAAGCAGACAGTAAGTGTCAAAAGGTAATAGTAACTTCGGTAGAGAGTGGTCCAATGCAATATTTAATTAATTGTGGAAGTGCATATGAAATGTGGGAAAAATTATTAAGTGTCTACGAACAAAAATCTGAGGTGAATATGTATTTATTACAACAAAAATTTTTTAGTTACGTAAAGGACCCCACAGATAACATTTCAGCACATATTTCTAAACTAGAAAAATTAGCTAATGATTTAAGGTTAGCAGGTGAAAATATAACAGATAACATGTTAATAACAAAAATTCTAATGACTCTACCAAATAGCTATCAGCATTTTTACAGCGCATGGGATTCAATGCAATCAGAGAATAAAACGATTAATAACTTAACAAGTCGTTTGTTATTGGAAGAATCACGTTTGGTACAACAAAGCAATAAGTGTAATATTGATGTTGAAAAATCTAGTGCATTTACTACAAAATCTCAAAATAAGTCGAGCTGGAAAAATGGTAGTCAGAAAAAAGGTAAAAACAATTTTAGTAGTTCAAGTAATACTAAAAAGATAGGTCCATGTTTTTACTGTGGAAAAGTTGGGCATATCAAGAGGGAATGCAGGAGTTTTCTTAAAAATCAAGGACAATCGTCGGATAAAGACGACAACGCATTTATAAGTGAGTCGACATTGGTATCAATCAAAGATGATGAACAATGGATATTGGACTCAGGTGCATCAGATCATATGTGTGCAAATTATGATTGGTTTCGAGATTACGAAAAATTAGAAAATCCGACTCAAGTCAAAATCGGGAACGGATCAAGTATGTACGCTATCGGTACAGGTAAAATATTAATTTGGTCGTATGTTAAAGGTAATTGGAATAAAAATTATCTATTAAATGTGTTACACGTGCCGGAATTAAAATATAATTTATTTTCATGCGGTTCAGCTTTAGATAAAGGACTTAAAATGATTAGTGATAAACATAAATGTGTATTTACTAGAAACAATAAAATTGTATGTGTAGCTGAGAGAAAAGAAAAATTATTTCAATTGCAGTTCAAAGTCGAAGTATTAGATAATACTACGCATCATGTAAATATTGCGATTAAAGATTCGTTGCTATTATGGCATGAAAGGTTAGGACATCAGAATATACAGTACGTAATTAATTGTTTAAAAAAACATAATATTACGATTTCTGATAAGGGCAATACATTTTTTTGTGATTCGTGTATGTTGGGTAAACAACATAAATTTTCGTTTAAATCAAGTACGACAAGTAGTGACAAAGTAGGGGAAATAATACACGCAGATTTGTGTGGACCGATGCAGAAAGATTCAATCGGTGGGTCAAAGTATTTCCTATTAATAAAAGATGATTATACACATTATAGGATGGTGTATTTTCTGAAACATAAAAATGAAGTTAAAAATATAATCGGGACGGTTATACAAAAAGTTAAAACTGATACAGGATGTAAAGTAAAAGTTTTAAGAACTGACAACGGTTTGGAATTTGTTAATAATGAGATAACTAGTATTTTGCAGAAATACGGAATTAGTCATCAGACAACAGTTCCGTACACTCCAGAACAAAACGGAAAAATTGAACGAGATAATCGGACAATAGTAGAAGCTGCAAGAACAATAATACATTCAAAGGAACTGGATATATCATTATGGGCAGAGAGTGTTAATACAGTTGTGTATACACTGAATTTAACTGGTACAAGTTCAATTAAAGGTAAAACACCGTATGAGCTTTATTTTAACAAAGATCCAAAAATAAGTCATTTAAGAATATTTGGAACTGAAGTATTCACTCATATTCCAAAAGAGAAAAGACAAAAGTGGGATGCAAAAAGCAAAAAGGGCATTTTTGTTGGTTATAGCAATAATACCAAAGGTTACAGAGTATGGTTTCCAGGTACAACTAATATAAGTATTTTTAGAGATGTTATTTTTAAAAACGAAATAAATCAACAAGTAGTAGTGTATGATGAAAATCAACAACAGGTTCATGAGACAAAATCAGAACCAGTGGAAAACGACACAGAAAGTCAACAAGAACATCCAAATATGCAACTACGTGATAGAACAAAATTAAAACCACCAGACAGGTATGTTGCACAATCATTCGTTACCAAGTATGTAGAAACTGAGCCATTAACATACAAAGAAGCCATTTCGTGTAAAAACGCAACTAATTGGGTAGAAGCGATGAACGATGAAATTAAATCATTAGGTGATAATGAAACGTGGACTTAGGTATCAAAGCCAGTGGGAGCAAATGTTATAAACAACTCATGGGTTTATAAAATAAAACATAATGATCGTTTTAAGGCTAGGTTAGTCATTAATGGATCAAGACAAAAATATGGTATTGATTATACAGAAACGTTTTCGCCAGTAGTAAGGTATGAATCAATAAGAACAATTTTAGCCGTTGCAGCAGCAGAAAATTACGATTTAAAACAATTTGATATAAAAACGGCATTTTTATATGGTAATCTAGAGGAAGACATATATATGAGACAACCTATTGGATTCAAAGATTCAACAGAACGAGTATGCAAACTAAATAAAAGTTTGTATGGGTTGAAACAATCGCCAAGGTGTTGGAATAATAGATTTAAGCAATTTCTATTAGAGTTCAAACTAGAACAAAGTGCATCGGATCCATGTATTTATTTTAATCATTATAATAATGAAACATTAATTTTAGCTATTTTCGTTGATGATGGTTTGATAGCGTCGAGCAGCATAATAAAAACAAATGAATTGTTGCAAGGTCTTGAACAACAGTTTGAGATAACACAGGGTATATAGATTATTTTCTAGGTATGGAAATAACTAGATGTACTGACGGATCAATATGTATACACCAGACAAATTACGCTAATTCGATTATTAGTAAATTTAATTTATTAGATGCGAAGGAGTTATCTACACCAATTGATAGGTCACATACTATAGAACAGAAATTAACAACGAGTGATAATCAATTTCCATACAGGCAGGCTGTAGGAAACTTATTATTCTTATCTCAAGTCACGAGGCCAGATATAGCATTCGCTGTTAACTATGTTAGTAGGTTTTTAAATAATCCAACGTCGGTACATTGGACCATGGTAAAACGAATAATTCGTTATGTAAAAGGAACAACAAAATTTGGTTTACGTTACAAATCTAACGTAAATTTGTGTTTAAGCGTATTTTCAGACTCAGATTATGCAGGAGATTCAGAGACAAGACGTTCAACTTCTGGTCATGTGTTCATGCTAGGAGTATCTACGGTATCATGGCAAGCGCAAAGGCAACCCATAGTAACACTAAGTTCAACTGAAGCAGAATATATCTCGGCGTGTGAAACAATCAAAGGTTTGATTTGGATTGACAGATTGGTAAAAGAAATCTGCACCAATACAACGAGTGGACAACCGACATTGTATGTGGACAATCAAAGTGCAATTCGACTTGTGAAAAATCCAGAGTTTCACAAGAGAACTAAACACATCGACGTCAGGTATCATTTCATCAGGGAAAAGTTTGAAGAAAACTTATTTCGACTACAGTACGTTGAAACAGAAGAACAATATGCAGACATATTTACTAAGCCACTTCCGAAGGATAGGTTTGAAAAATTAAGGCAAAAATTATCAGTGTTGAAATTACTTTAATTTTTCTTGTTTATATAAAATATTAATTACGGGGGTGTGTTGAATATAATTTAATATTGTATTAGTAGTATAATCATATTGTGTATAACAAAATATAGCTGTTATTCGAATCTGATAAATCACACCACATATGGCGTGATATTGTATTAGCCAATAAGCAAGCTTGTAAAGTGGCGTGAGCCAGGGGTCAGTAGATCATTAGTATATAAGGTTGTTTAGCTGTGTACTGTAGGCACTGCATTTTAGGTATTACTTATGTGTATGTCATGTATATCTCGTAAGCATAGTACTTACATTGTTAGAAGTCAAATTACTTTTCATACTTAGTTATGTGTTTTAGTTTTAGTGAAATATTACGTATTCTTACTATAACTAAATTGTGTTGTATATTTTATCTTTTGTCGATCCACATTTTAACCTCCTTTCAACACCTATTGTAGGTCAATTTTTTGTTTAATACCATAGATATGTATATAATATGCCTTATACATAGACTGACATACCATCACCGCTCAGAATCGTTTTTCTTATACAATGATATTATATCATTGAATTCAAATTTAATACCATCCATTATACAGTGACCCACTTGTAACCTACTGTACAGCAGAGCGACACCCACTTGCCCACCTTTTTATGTCTGACGTTTGAACAATATTTACACATGAAATTAAATTATTGATATTTTCAAAATGTATTCAATTGAGGTTGTACCTATTTGTTTTACTCATTGTAGTTATGAAATATTTTAATTTCAATAACAATACAATATACTAATTAATGACATCTTACTGATGGTGTATTTGTTACATGCAAATCTTTATATATCCCATGCAATACCTTAGGTCACTGACATTCTTAGAACCTTTATTTCTGATTGTTGTGTTGTAATAGTATGAACTATATGCATTGGTAACTAATAGCAATTTACACATAATATTAATATAAAAAAGTTGAAAAAGAAAAGAAATTAAATAAAGTCATGATGTAAAAAATCTTTATTGATTATCTGAAAAAACAAAACAAATAAAAATAGCAAATTTTTTGTTGAGAAAAGATGTTCCTGTTAAAAACTTACTGCTGTCTGCTATCAGCGCCTGAAAAAAATAGGTTTCATTAGAATCATCAATATCAAAAACTCAAGTATCTATATAATATACTTACATCGTTGCACGGCGGCGGCGTATGAGAGATCTGATATTTTCTGGAAATAATGTAAAAATAATAAAATAGATTTATCAATATCAAACGTTTAAATATATCAATATATCCTTACGACATTAGCTCGCGGTGTCGACACCGCCGTCACGTACATGTCATCTGTTGACTGAAAATTATTCGTTTAATTAGACTTATTAATTTCGAAAACTTGAATATTTTTTTAAATTTTTTACTTATATATCTTTAAATATTATACTAAGATATTATACTTACAACGTTGGAGGGCCCCGACGGTGGCACCGCTCGGGCGGTTCTCTGCCAACGGACCTCCTGAAAATTATTCATTTAATTAGACTTATCAATTTCCAAAACTTGAAAAATTTTTAAAATGTTTTACTAATATATCTTTAAATATTATACTAATATATACTTACAGCGTTGGACGGTCGCGACGGTGGCGCCGCTCCGGTGGACCGTGGCCGACGGACCTCCTGAAAATTATTCATTTAATTAGACTTATCAATTTCGAAAACTTGAATATTTTTTTAAATATTTTACTAATATATCTTTAAATATTATACTAATATATACTTACAGCGTTGGACGGTCGCAACGGTGGCGCTGCTCGGGTGGACCGTGGCCGACGGACCTCCTGAAAATTATTCATTTAATTAGACTTATCAATTTCGAAAACTTGAATATTTTTTTAAATATTTTACTAATATATCTTTAAATATTATACTAATATACGAGTATACTTACAGCGTTGGACGGTCGCGACGGTGGCGCCGCTCCGGTGGACCGTGGCCGACGGACCTCCTGAAAATTATTCATTTAATTAGACTTATCAATTTCGAAAACTTGAATATTTTTTTAAATACCTATTTTACTAATATATCTTTAAATATTATACTAATATATACTTACAGCGTTGGACGGTCGAGCCGCGGCCGCTCGGCTCTGCGACTGTCGCCGACGAACCTCCTGAAAATTATTCGTTTAGTTAGATTTATATAGAAATGTAATTAGATTTATTTTTAAATATAAATATATATCCTTACGTTTGACGATGGTCGTGATGTTGGGGAGCGGGATCTGGAGAGGGGCCTAGCACGGAAAGCCCTGCCACCTCCCCTACCACTGCCACCTCCCCGACGCCTTACGCCATCACGACCACTGACGACGTCGACACCACCTCCTCGCCGCCGGCCACCACTACGACCACTGCCGTCGCCGCCGCCACCACCTAACCGCCGATTACCACCGTCACCATCGCGGCCACCACCTACACCTCTGGACTTGGCTACAATATAATTTACAATTTATATACATAATATTAAGACTGTTATTAAGGAATATGTAAAGTAAACACTCACCGCAATCCCGGGAGAGGTGTCCCCGTTTGCCACAGTTGTAACATTCTGAAACGGGTAGATATAATTGTATTCGTTTCTAATTGTATGTATTGTAAATACTAAATATAGATTAATCAAATTTATGCTTACGTCGGGTGCGGTCTTCGGTCCCAATATACAGCCGGCAATTCCCGCTCACGTTGTATATATTATTGCTCATTCTAAAGTTAATAAATAAAAACAAATAAAGAAAGTTGAAAAAAACAATTGATTGGTCAGCATTATTATGTTGGTGATATTATAAAATATTAAATTCGTTAAACAAAAAGCATGTGGTGCACACTCAAACAAAGCCACGGTTTTCTTCGCAAATGTAAATGTTATAACAATATCATTTGATTAATGCAATCGGAGGTGAACGTGTTAAAAACAAAAAAAAAAATAGAAAAAATATTTAATTTGTTTCACAGAAACTATGTGTTGCAGACAAAACTAAGGCTCGATTTTCTTCGCAAATTTATATATTATTACAATAAGATATTATTAATTCATAAATACGATCCGCGTTGGACGCGTTAAAAAACAATCCAATGTATCTTATTATACTCATTCTAAAAATATAAAGAAAGTGTATACTAAAACTTTTATATTATTATAAATAATGTACCTCATGTACCTACGCTTGGCAATTGCCGCTAATGTTTTATACGTTGTTACTCATTCTGAAGTTGACAAATTAAAAGCAATAAAGAAAGTGTATAGTAAAACGAAACTTTAAGTGATCTGTCGGTATTATTATGATATGTTGGTGATATTATAAAATATTAAATTCGTTAAACAAAATGCATGTGGTGCACACTAAAACTAAGTCACGGTTTTCTTCGCAAATGTAAATTTTATAACAATATTATTTGATTAATGCGATCGTAGGTGAACGTGTTAAAAAAAAAAAAAAAATAGGAAAAATATTTAATTTGTTTCACAGAAACCATGTGTTACAAACAAAACTAAGGCTCGATTTTCTCCGCAAATTTATATATTATTATAATAAGATATTATTAATTCATAAAAA